GAGGGTTACCACGTGGTTACCACGTTTACTACCAGGTGGGTTATGTAAATCCACTATGCTTTTCTCTCTTTTAAAAAAAATCTTTGATTTGTTCAGACTGGTTCTTGCTATGTAGCCCAGGCTGGTCTTGAATTCAAGCAAATGTTCCTGCCTCAGCCTTATCGAGTTCTGGGATTACAGATATATACCACCACACCAGTCCTAAATTTCAATTTTGCACAATGTTGGTTGGGTGTGGGTAGATGGATAGTAGCTATGGTAACATAATGATGTACAATACTTAATGGCCTGAGAGGTTAACCATTTAAAATGGTTAAATAGGGGGCTGGTGAGATAGCTCAGTGGTCTAAAATGTCTGCTTTGGCAAGCTTAGGCAAAAGCTCAGGGACCATGGTTCAATCCCCAGCACCACATGCAACACTAGCCCCACCCCCAGGGTGGGCTGAGCTGGCCACAAATAAAATAAAATGTGTGTTTTTTAAAAATAAAATAAAATAAAATGGTTAAATAGGGCCGGCTAAATAGCTCAGTGGGTTAAAACTCCTGCTGTGCCGGCCCCGCCCCCAGGGTGCGCTGAGATGGCAATTGAGACTGAGCATGGTGGTGTGCGCCTGTAATCCCACCTCTTGGGAGGCTGTAAACAGGCAGATTACTATGGGTCCAATCTAGTAGTGAGACCCTGTAGACCCTTCCCTAAAAATAAATAAATAAATGATTAGCTATGGCTGGCGAGATAGCCCAGTGGACAAAGTGCCTGTTTAGGCAACTGCAGGGACTTGGGTTCGATCCCTGACACCACATGTCACACCAGGGCTGGGGCTGCCCCTGGGGCACTCTGAGCCAGACACCAAGACCAGGCTCAGCAGGTGATGCTAGGGATCAAATGGGTACCTGTGCTTGCCTAAGCAGGCGCTTAGTCCGCTAAGCTCTGTCACTGGTCCATCAGGCCCAGTTTAAACAAACAAATAAAAAAAAAAAATTCAAAACTAAACTTCGTTCTGACAGAACAAAGACACCTTTGTTTTTTAATTTAAAAAAAAAAAAAAGCTCTAAGGGACTGGGAATGTAACTCAGTGGTAGAGCCCTTGCCTAGCATGCAGGAGACCTGGATTCAAATCCCAGTACTACCAAAAAATAATAATGATCATTTCAAAAATAAGCAACATGAAGAGCAATAACATCTTGGAGCCCTACAACAGCTTCTGGGGTTGCACAACACTTGGTGGAGTGGATAACAGGAAATGCAGCCTGGCTCAACGGGAGGAAAGGAAAGTAGTATTTCCCCAGTGGTCTTCGGCTCTGTTTATGTAAAAATATTCAGCTGTCATCGGAGATGTTTTGACTTTGGGTATCCTCCTCTGGCAGGCCAGCCAGAAACCCTAGGGGTGAACATCTTTCCACTTCCTTTCCAGCAGCCATTGCCACTCCACAAGGAAAACACGTCTTGAATGAAAGTCAGCAGAGCGAGAGGTGGAATCTCCAGACCCTCTCACTTGTGGCAACGGCTGAGTTAGGAGCTCAGAGGTCCCTGCTTCCCTCGGGGATCCTCCGGCTCTGGAATCACACTGGGCTACAGAAGCCCACCCAAGGAAATTGTTCCTTCATAGGAAAGTGGTTCTGGAGCTCTAGCCCAGGAAGGGGTTGTTGCTATTTGCAGCACATGGATGTAACCCGGTCTTCACTCTTTGCCTGCAAAGCTCTCACTTTACTACCCAGCTACACCCTCAGGCCTTTTAAAGGTTTTTAAGACGGGTTATCACTAAATTGCTAAGTTGTCCAGCCCAGCACAGGCAGGGGCATGTGCCACCACCCCTGCTCTCCTAGCCTTTTTTACCTCCTATTTTGAGACAAAGTCTCACTAAATTCATCAGATTGGCCTTAAATTTGCACCCTCCTGCCTTATCTTCCCAAGTGGCTGCGATTAGCCCAAGGTGAAAGATCTTAAGGGACAGGATACATGTTATATTTTCTCAGAAAGCTACCCTAATCCTCTCTATGGCCACCACCTACCTGGAAGTTACTCATGTTAAAGCACCCACACCCTGCTCTCCAGTTCTTTAAAAACAAAAACAAAAAACCTTTTACCCTACACACTAAATACAAAATCTTATTGTCTCACTATGTCCTAATTTTCTCTTCTTCCTTCCTCAGTATACTCCATGTCTTTTTATTTTATTTAATTTTGCAGTACTAGGGATCAAATTGAGGACCTTGCACTTGCCAGGCAGGTGCTTATTCTGCTAACTCCCTGGTCTCTCCATGTATTTTATTTCATTTTAGTTTTAATGTATTTACTACAGGGTCTATAGGGTTTCACCACACAGATTGAATTTATAGTGATCTTCCTGTTTTCAGGCTCTTGAGCACTGGGATTACAGGTGCATGCCATCACACCCAGTCTTATTCACTATCTCAGAGTGCCCCGGGGCAAGGACAGTGGTGTGATGGATTGAACCCCAGTCCCTGAGCTCTGCCAAAGCAGGCACTTTAGTCCGCTGAGCTATCTGGCTAGCCCTTCCTCCATGTCTTTTTAATCATTTATACAAAGTTACTGTTGGGGTCCAATCCCCAGCACCACATGCCACACCAGTGCTGCCCCCAGGCCACCTAGACCGGGTGTGGTGGCACATGCCTATAATCCCAGCGCTGGGGAGGCTGAAAACAGGAAGATTGCTAGGAGTCTGAGCTTCTTAGTGAGACCCTGTACCAAATACATTAAAACAAAAACAAAACAAACAAAATAAAAACAGCAAACAAACAAAAGTTACTGCTGAATCTTCCTCCTCACTGCCTACCTTTAGTTAGGATCAATTATTGTCAAATCTTTTAGAAATATGGAAACTTTTCTTTTCCTTCTCTTCTTGAGACAGAGTCTAGGGGACCTGCCCATTAGCTCAGTTGTTTAAGTGCCTGCTTAAACAAAGCACTCAAGCTCAAGCTGCTGTGGTTCAAACCCAGATACTCACAGCAAACCAGAAATGCTCTAAGGCATCTTCTGGCCTCCAAAAAAAAAAAAAAAAACCTTGAGACAGTCTCACTATGTAGTTCAGGCTGGCCTTGGGCTCACTTTGTAGTCCAAGCTAGTCTTGAACTCTCAACGATCTTCTTGCCTCTGACTCTGGAGTGCTGGAATTACAGAAGTGCACTACCATGCCAGATTGTGGAAACATGCTGATTCCTCAAATTTTTTATTTTTAAAAATCTATTCATGGGTCGGCTAGATAGCTCAGTGGATTAAAGTGCCTGCTTAGGCAGCCGTAGGAATGGAGGTTTCGATCCCCAGCGTGCCCTGCCGGCTCCGCCCCCGGAACACGCTGAGACGGCAAAAGAGACTTGGCATGGTGCAGGGCGCCTGTAATCCCAGGGTTTGGGAGGCTGAAAACAGGAGGATCACTATGAATCCGATATGTGTAGTGAGACCCTGTACTAAATACATAAATAAAATAAAATAAAATAATCTATTCATTTATCTGGGTGTAGCAGTGCCCACCTACAATCCCAGCAGCTGGGAGACTGGGGCAGGAGACTCACCATAAAATTTAGGCCAGAGGAGGCAACATAGTGGGTTCAACTCTAGCCTGAACTACTGTATGTGAGATTCGGTCTCCAAAAAACAAACACAATCCACTCATTTAAATTATAAAAAACAGGGGCCAGGGAGATGGCTCAGTAGTATAAGCACTTGACTGGCAAACTAAAGGATCTGAGTTCAATCCCCGGTTCCGCAAAAAATAAATTAAAAAAATTATAAAAACAATTCCCAATTTTCACAGCACCCTCACCGCCCTGAGAAGCAGGTGCCTTGAGCTCAGTCTCCGCATTGCTCCTGCATGGGGTCCCTGGGGTCCCCCCCATCTAGACCCTGCTCTGGGGACAGGAGAATCTTCCCCCTCCCACCTCATCGCGCCAAAGGCCCGACGGCGGAGCTGATGTCCTGCACATCCCCATCCCGCTGGGCCCTCTACAGATCCCACTGGGCCGCGGGTTAGTCCCAAGAGGGGCGTCGGGGCCGCCGAGGGAGCGCTGAGGACGGAGTGGGTCCACGCGGGCTCTGGTGGATCCTGTTCTGGCTGCAAACCCCTGGCCGTCCCCCGCCCCAAGGATGGAACACGAGATTCCCCGAAAGTTGTATGCAGGGACGCTTGTCCGAACTCGAGGGTTGCAGCGACTAAAGGACCGCAGGACCCAGCCGAGCCCCGGCCCCGCTACCCCCGCCTCCCTGCGAGGCTGTCCCCACCCACCCCGCCCTGTTCTCGCGCCTCGGCCCCTCGGCCCCGCCCCAGGTTTAAACCTGAGGGGCGCGAGCTCTGGCGTCGCGGGAGCCATGGGACCCAGGCTGGCGCGGAGCCGCCCCGACCCCTGTCCCGATCCCGATGCTGGTCCCGGTCCTGGCCACTGCCCGGGTCCCTGCCCGCGCAACGGCGACGGTGCCCACGGGCCCCCGAGGTGAGCGCGGCCCGGGCAGTGCAGGTCCCAGTCCCAGGCGAGTAGAGCCGGGCTGAGCGAGGCCGTGGTCCCTGCACCGAGGGACAGCCCAGCACCTGGCTCGGGCGCAGGCTGCACACCCCAGACTTGGCCCTGCAGGTGGCCCGGCTCGCTTGTCACAGGTCCTCTGTGCTCTCGAGCCTTTTAAGTGAGTGAAGTTTAGGAAATCAGAACAGCCGGGCAGGGAGGCAGGGCTGGGGACTTGGCAGCCGGAGGGGAGACGCCGATACCCACTTTTTGGCATCGTAGAACTCAGGCTTCTGATCTGCACAGCCACGGTCCTTCCAGGACCCAGCTGGTGTAGCTGACACCAGCCCAAAGGAGCTGGCAGCCGAAAATCCGGAATTGCAGACTGCATCCGGGTAAGGGGAAGAAAGCCCTCGAGGGCCAGGGAGTCTCTCTTCTGAGTCGCCCTGAAGCCGGGGACTGGCCTTGCACAGGAGAAGGACACCAGCCCTCGAGGACCAGGAACCTGAGGGGATGTTCCAGACACCCGGTGACCCTTTCGAGAATAACGGTGTCGCTCTAAAGGCAGCAGGGTGCCAGGGACTCATCTCTCTGACCCTTTGCCTTGCAGACCCGTCCCCAGCCCCACGCTTTGGCGACCATGGACGCTGAGCACAGGTGGAAGCCAGGTAAGCTTGCGTGTGGACCTGGGACAGTCGGTCCAGCTGGAGAGCCTCTCCATAGCAGTAGCAGCAGCAGCTGGATCAGAAAGAGCCCCTTGAAATGCTTTCTTCTTTACCCCCGCCCCTGCCCGGCGCAGCAGAACCACCAGGGCTGGAGCCGAGCTCCCTGAGCCAGGGGTTAAAAGATTCAAGTCACAGACAGACTGGCTCCCGGTGGCCTCTGCTTTCTCCGAAGGCGAGGCCATCGCAGCAGTGTGTAGTGGTTCGAGGGCACCGTAAAGGATTTCTGCAAGCCAGCAGGACGGTGGAAAGCTGAGGGCACCCTGAGCACGGGATTGGGGCCACAGTGCAAACAGGCAGAATAACCTTCAGGAGCCCTCCGTGCAGGGGAAAGCCGCCGCCGTCTGGTCCTTTCTGAAGCACTTGCAGGCCTGTCTGCAAGTGCTGCTCGGTAACTCAGTGTTGTCTGAGCAAATACACTCAAGCACTGTGCTTTGTGGATGGAGATTAATAGCCACTACTCTTCTTTTGTTACCCTGCATGGGTGACCAAATAGCTGTTATACTCACTGAAGGAAAGACTTGCTTTCATTTGTTATGTTTTAAATGTAAATTGATGACTTTTAAAATGCTGGCGAGCTTCTCTGGTGAGGAAGGGTGATGTATTTGATTTAGCTAACCTGAGGCTTGTGATTTAGTATGCAGTTATTTGTGAAGTGAGAAGAAAGCTCAGGTGTGGGAGAGCAGACCATTATATCTGGTGGTTTTTCTACTTTATGCAGGTAATCTGAATGGTCAGGGTTTTGATTCAGTTGCCTTTCTTTGAAGAAAAATGCAGCACAAGGGAGATGACTTTTTTTTTTGTCCAAAGTATTCTTTTTAAATTTATTTTAATTTTTAAAATTTTTTGGTGGGCTCAGCCCACCCCGAGGGCAGGGCTTTCTCAGCATGTGGTGTGGGGGATTGAACCATAGTCCCCTGTGCCTGCCTAAGCTGCACATTAGACCTCAGCACTATCTTACCAGCCATGTCCGAAGTATTCTTACTTTTTTTTTTTTTTTTTTTGCTCTTTTTGTGTCAGGGTGTTGCTGCACAGTTAAGGCTGGCCTTGAGCTCACCTTGTAGCCCATGCTGCTCTCAAACTCCTGCTTTAGCCTCCCAAATGCTGGGATTACAGGTATGGGCACCACTCCTGGTTTAAAAATTAAATTATTAGTACCTGTTTACTTCATTTATGATCACAATTTTTGTGGGGGTTGAGACATAAACAACACATCCGAATTCTTTTTAGTTCCTCTAGCATAGATGCTTGAGAAAGAATATGGGCTTATAATTACCCAATTTTCTTTTAAATGAAAGGTCTGTAGAACATACTAGTTTCTTTTTGCAAGAACAAAGGTGCTGTATAACATACTGCCTAACTCTAACTCAACCAGGCAGCTTTGGACTTTTTCTCTCTAATGTGGTGAGAAAGCCATTGGTGAGAAAATCGGACACGACCTGAGGAGAAATGTTAGCCCGAGCAGCTGGCTGTCAGCCCTCCACCCGCTTTCCGCAAAGCCCCGGGCTGCAGGCGAAGAAGACGGAGTGACAGCATTCGCATCGCCCTTGCTCATTGACGCCCTCTCCCGACAAAGCAGGAGAACTCTGGGCTCCAGGGCTCTGTCCAGTCTTTCTCCAGAAATGGCACAGGAGGACGAGGGGGTAACGCTCGACACACTGTACCAGGTTCTACAGCAAGTAGATCAAAATTCGAATGAGATCTAAATCTGAGTAAAGGCCCCAGTGTCTCGTGCACACCTTAGCTCGGTCAGTGGCACACACCTCCCACTAGAAGTCCTTTCAAATCTGTTCTCTGGATCTTAAGAGAACACCCACATCTTAAACACAATGCTTGACCTGTGTACATTTTTTCCCACTTAATTATTCAAACATGACTATGTAGAGGTTTCCTTTCACGAGGAAGGATCTTTAATAAAATCTTTGAGAAAATAATCATGATATTGATAGCATAACTCTTGAAAGCTGTGCATTTGAGAGGTAGATTTTAAAGGTTATAAAACCATGCTCTGTAATTCAGAGGCCACCGACGTGGGTACTCCAGGAAGTCATCCTTCTCTAGTGTTGTGGCATCCACCAAAGCTGCACAGTGTCCACAGTTTTCAGTGTCCACCAAAATTGTACAGTTATGTCAGCCTCTGCCCCATCACAGGGCATGGACTTATCCTCCAGGAGTCCTTGGGATAGAAGAGTGAGCCCAAGTAGTCAGGGATGGTTTTTAGTCACAAACAGAGCTCTTTTGTGTGTTTTCTTTGGGGGGAATTGTTTTTGGCTTTTTTTTTTTTTTCATGGGCACACACTGTAGTCCATGCTGGCTTTGTACTAGGCCTGCAAAACCATGTCCAGTTTAGAAACAGCACTCTTAACACAAATAATTTCCTGTAGTGCCCCCACAAAAATGAAGAACAATGCAAAAGATTCTATTCCAAAAGCCTCACTTCCCTTCCCTTGTCTCATCACAGATCATTATAAAATATGGCTGAGAAACTGTAATGTCTGCACAGGGCCCTTTTTATTTTCTTTTCCTTTTTTTATTTAATTAATTTGTTTTTTTAGGGAAGGGTCTACAGGGTGTTTAGGGTCTCACTACTAGATCAGACTTGTAGTGATACACCTGCTTACAGCCTCCCAAGATCTGGGATTACAGGCCCACACCACCATGCCCAGTCTCCCCTCCCCTCCCCTTCCCTTCTTCTTTTCTCTTCAGACAGGGTCTCATTACGTAGCCCAAGCTGACCTCAAACTCATGATTCTCCTGCCTCAGCCTCCCAAGCACTGGGACTTGCAGGTATGCCCACCCAGCCTGGCTTCTTCAATCTATTCTTGCAATGCCACACAGCTTTGGTCCCATCCCTAATCTGATTCCCTCTAACATTTTGGAAGCCAAGAGCCCGGGTTTCTACTCTACTGCTGCAGCTCATGTCAGCTCCTATTCCTGTGATCCCACGCTGATCCATTCGGGGCCAACCCACATGCTCAGGAACTCAGCCATCAGAGGCTCCAGAGAGCCTTGGATAACCTGGCTACATTTTTTCCCCCCCGGAACCGGGTATTGAACTCAGGCCCTTGCGCTTGCCAGGGAAGTGCTTATTCCACTGAGCCATCTCCCTGGCCCCATCCTGGCTACATTTAGGGTCAAATCTAGCCCAGCACCCAGAGAAGTCTGGCAGAAGGGGACAACCCCAATCAGGTAGCTGGTGATGTTCCCTTCAGCCCAAAACTGTGGAGAGGCCTTGCCCTCTGCTGATGTCTTGTATTCATCACCATTGTCCTCAGCACCTGTACCCAGAAAACCTGCCCTCTCCTCTGCTTCAGATACACAAGAGGGTTTGGGCCTTTGGGCCGCTGCTGAGGTGTAGAGTCTGCCTTCCCTCACCTTCCAGGAGGCTGCCTCAGTTCACCCTTTTATCCTCTTACAAAGACTGGTGCCTGCACGGCTCAGCCACCACGCCCAGCTTGGAGGACTTATTGAATCCAGTCCAAGCACAGCTCTGGGAAAGAACAGAGCTGAGCATTGAACTCCCTGGCTTAGAACCTGGCTCTCAGGATCAAACCTCAACTCAGTAGTGGATATGTAAGGCATCGGGATAGGGCCTCTTGCCTCCCTCAGGATTCCTTCGATCACGATCGTAGGTGCCTCATGGGCTTAACCCTGTGTCGCTGTCCCTCTGCACTTGCCCCTCTGAATGTGACACCATACTCTCTCAGGAACACTGGGAATTGGACTCCTGCCCTTCCCCTCCTCCATGCTCAGCACAGTCACTTTCAGAGCTTGTTGCTGTCTTCCTTAGCTCTGAATCTCCCACGCTGAGGCCCTGTGTCCCTACGCTGTCCCTCTTCCATTCCTTCACAGAGCTTTGGATGTTGTGGACAAGGTTAACAGAAGGAACTGTAACTGAAAGGTGTTTAAATGCTCTCTACAACTGGGATTGAGCTAGGCAGTGCCCACCCGTAATCCTAGCACTTGGGAAGCTGGGGCAGGAGGATCACTGTGAGTTTGGGGCCAATCTGGGCTTCAAAGTGAGATTCCGTCTCAATAAAACAAAACATCACAACTGATACTGACAGAAACAGCTGCAGACTGCTCAGATTTTATCTTGAAAACCTCAAGATGGTACCTGATGCTTTTCCCTTGCTACACCTGTGTTTGTGTTTGTCTTTACAGCATGAACCTGGGAGAGACCAAGAAATATTGAGATCAAAGGGGGCCTTCGGGTTTCAGCATCCTGTAAGGTAATACCTGAATTCACAATTAAAAATAAAAATTACGGGGCCATATAGTCAAGTGACACAAGTTCCTGCCTGGCAAGCACAAGGTCCTGAATTTGAAAATATATTTATTTTTTAATTTTATTAATTTAATTATTTTGTCTTTTTGAGACAGGGTCTCACTATGCAGCTCAGACTGGCCTTGAGCTCTCACTTTGTAGCCCAGGCTGGTCTTGAACTTGCAATGATCCTCCTGCCTCTGCCTCCCAAGTGCTGGGATTATAGGCATGTACCACCATGCCCAGCTTTTATATATATAATTTATTTTGATGCTATAACCATGAATGCATTTGACATTTTCAACAAAGTGGGAAGCAATAAGTCCTGCAATTTTACTGAATTTGCACCAAGGAACTTTAGGGAGATTACATTGGGTATGGAGTCCTGTTCAGGTATTCATTCATGTTTCCACTGCAAATTGGAGCTGGGCTTTCTTTTTTCTTTCCATCTTTTGTTCATAGTTCCCATTGCATAAACGCCTTGTGTTAATTATCTGTGGCTGTACCTGCACACACACTTATCAGCCTAGACACTGGCCCATCTCTAGCTGTCCTATAGGTATAAGCTCATACACTGTCTTGTGCAAGCAGGCCCTCAGAATGTGCATAGAGTAAGTCAGGGGTCTGCACATATGGAGCATGCGCTGGAGCCCCTTCCTAGCTGCTCCAGCCATCAGCCTGCTTGTGTCAGGCCCCTTGTCCTTACTTACATTTCATCCATTTCAGGCAAGCAAATGGCTTGTGTTCAGAATTTTTATATTTGTGCCTGTCTCTCTCCATCTCTTATTTCCTCCACCAAAATGAACATGCTTACTAACAGCTTGGTTACCCTGAAGGCTGCTGCAAATGTTGGCAAAAAGCAAGAGTCATTTCTAGAGCTGAACCCGTGCACCCCCAGACTGGCTTGTATGGTTTTTGGGAGAGGGAAGACTTCTAAGCAATCTACCTCTGGTTTTCAAGACTGGGTATAGCTTTTAAAACCCCAAATGTCCCCTGGGACATAGCTCAGCAGCATAAGCCTTGGCAAGTGCAAGGTCCTGAGTTTGATCCCCAGTACCAAAAACAAACAAACCTCCAAATGCCTGGGTGGCTCCTCCAGGCAGCATCTACATCACTGTAGCCCAGTGATCCTGCCTAAGGCTGAGCCCGACAACCACTGACTACTTCAGCCCCTCTCCCCCACCAACACACACACTGCAGAGCTCCCCCTTTGTGAATGGATGGGCTGCTATGAGTGACACAGCACGAGCTGCATTGTGTACCTGTGTTACAGACCAGACCATTCTATTTTCCATTTTTATTACAGAAACTTTCCAACATACACCAAAGTGGGCTGAATATTATAGCAGTTACCCTCACGTATCACTTGTGGGCTCCATTAATCATTATCAGCATTGTTCTTATTGCCCCAACTGCTTTTGTTGTTTATGCAAATCCCAGACAGCCTACAAATTCACCTGCAAATACTTCAGCGAAAACACCAGATTTTTACCATGGTCAAAAATTAAATTCTGCATCTATGTCTGTCTTCCATGTACAAACCACACATGGTTCGTCTACTGCAGTTTCTCAGCCTCAGCACCAATTGGTCCTTTGGGCTGGATAACTGTGGTGAGCACCATTTTGGGCAACGTGGATATTTAGCAGCAGTCCTAGGCTCTGCCCATCAAATGCCACCTAAGTGCCTAATGCCTTCACTTCAGCTATGATAATGAAGAATGTCTCCAGGCATTTTCAAATGTGCCCTGGGATTGAGCACCACTGGTCTATTGGAAATCATAGGAAGTAAAAATTATCATATTTATAGCAGGGAATCTTCTCTTTCCCTTTTCTATCTAGAAAGAGAGATACTGCAATGAATAGTGAAATGCACAAGGGCAAGAGATTCTGAGGAGGTTTATTCTGCTGCACTGGGCCTTTCCACAGACCCACCTCCCCAGCCCTTCTTTTAATTTGTATTTTGAGATAGCATCTTGCTAAATCACTGAATTGGCCCATACAGTTTGAATTTGCAGTCCTCCTGTCTCAGCCTCCCAGGGTGCTGGGATTACGGGTGTGCATCACCACACTCAGCTATCAGGGAGATGTTTTAAATACTTTCCTTTTTATAACTGGAGTCCCAAATTCTATACAACCTGGGATTTAGGGAGGGCTCCCAACCTTTCTTTTTTATTTATTTTAATGTATTTGATACAGGGTTTCACTACATAGCTTGTACTTGTAGTAATCTCAGCCTTCCCAGTGTTGGGATTATAGGCATGTGCCACCATGCCCAGACTTGGTGGCCGGCTCAGTGCACCCAGAGGCAGGGCCAGCATAGCATATGATGCCGGAGATCGAACCCTGGTCCCTGAGCTTGCCTAAGCAGGCATTTAGTCAACTGAACTAGCTCACCCGCCCACCAACCTTTCTATTTGATTCTCTCCCTCTCTTTCTCCAGCTAGGTCTTCCTCCCTGTTCTGACAGAACCAGGGATGCATTCTTGTAGCTGCTCTGTGGTGACACCTGAGACAGTTCGCTGCCTCAGTGGGCCAGAGTTCTGGAGTAGAGTTTCCAGAACCAGGGGTGGGCATGGGGCTTCCCTGAAATGCTTCCTCCAGGCTCCAGGAGGGCTTCCACGCTCCACTGATTAGAGCTCATTGTTTCTGGGGGCCAGTCCCCTATGTGCTGCACTTCTGGTGTCTCTACTGGGGTCTGTTCATCCAACTCTCACCTATTTGTGCTCCAGCCTGGCACTTATTGCTGGCTCTGCATTTCTTGCCACCATGAGGGGTAGAGAATTCCAGGCAGGCAAGAGGTCTGGGGTGCTAGCTGTTCTAAAGCAAGAAAAACTGTAGCAGGAGTTATTTTTCCAGCTGACTAATGGCATATTTGTTTCTCTAATCTCAGACTCTACTTACCCGTTTCAAAGCGTGAAAAGTACCTGCAGGGCTCCGGGGAGGAAGTGCTGGCCAGTTTCCCAGTGCAAGCCACCATTCACTTCTACAATGATGAGTCTGAGTCTGAGTCTGAGTCCGATAAAGAGGAGCAGGAGGAAGAAGCCAGGCCCCGGGAACCTCAGTGCCAGCAGCAGAAGGCCATGGAGACAGTGGCCCAGAGAGACGCAGTGAAGTCTGGCTTCGGACCCCCCGAAATGAGGTGACTGCATCTCGGTCCCTCTCCAGGGGCCAGCGCTTGCTCCTGGTCCAGATGATCTGGGTCTCTGGTGCCAGCCCCAGCTGACCCCTGCCACAGCCTGGTGACAGCTGGTGTACTCGGGGTCATCAGAGGCCAGGCCACCTGGGCTCTGTTGCTGCCTATGACCAGGACTCAATTTCTTTTTCTTCCTCTTGTGACTTTTTCTGAGCAAGTGAAGGGCACAGAGGGGTTTGTGTCAACACGGGCTGACATCGAGAAAGGCTGTGTAGCATTGTCACCTGCTGAGACGACACAGTGCTCCTACCTAGATCAGCGACCCACCCTGCCTTTCATTTAAGCCAATGCTTCCTGTTCAGCTCTTTCTGCTTTTGTAAAAATAATTTAGGTATCTAATCTCAATTTTACTCCATTGTCCAAGGATCGATCTGGGTGCTTTGTAACATTCTGGGGAAAATATTTACTTACAAAAATAATAAAAAATAAAAACAAAGAATGGTGTTCTTAAGAGTAATGAATATGGATTTCGAGGAGGTAACTCTGAAAAAAAATCTATGTGGTAATTACAAAAGGACTATGTGTATGAGTATATGTCACAATGATATAGGGAAAAAATGATCCTGGTGTATGACCTCCAAATGATATAGGGGGAAAAATGAAATTCCCGACCTGAAAAGTACCTGGGACGAGTTCATGTTCTCTAAAACTGAAGAATTAATTTTAAGAACAAATGGAGGTTATGAGCAAAATATGTTTATTGGAGGAAAGAAAGCTCTTGTTCAAGAGGGACAGGAGGGGGGCCCTGAGTGGGTGGTACCCAGGAAGCAGTCTCTTCCAGGGACTTTTATAGTGTAAAACCATGCGGGTCTAAGGTAAAGAACATGGGAACTTGCTTAGGTGGGCATGAGGTGGGACAAAACTACAGTCAACCAATGAGATTACAAGCACCACTGCTCAGGTAAAATGGATTAAGTCCAGGGCCAAATGGGGAAGTGAGTCACATAGCAAGCAGTCATAAATGTAGGACAGGACTTTATCTGGTAGCTTGCCAGTAGTAGTCGGATTAATGATTCTTCCTGGTTTCCTCAGGGTGATGATCAATCCCGGATGCTAATCTTAGGGAGGTCAACATTTGTTTGATCTTTGGTATTTAGGTCTGGCCCACAGCAGGGGGATCCGTCTCTTTCACAGTTGCAATATGTCTTGTTTTTCCTGCCGTCTCCTGAGGGCCTGGCCCTGTCTGACTGCCTGTAACATTTCTATCTAATTCGGCTGCCTGCAACAACAGAAACTTAAGGCTTGGTACTGCCTTGGGCTTCTTACTTGACCAGAATGACACTTTTCAGTGAAAATACCTGATGTAGCCAGTGAAAATACCTGGCGCAGGCCTGTAATCCCAGCACTCAGGAAGCTGAGGCAGGAGGACTGCCATGAGTTTGCGGCCAGCCTGAGTTACATAGCAAGATCCTGTCTCAAACAAAACAAAACAGAGTATCTGATGTAAAATTATTCTTGAATTTATTACATTTTGACTAAATGAATATATTCCTCTTGGGTTTTGACTCAATTATTTTACATGTAGTTATCTTTCTATATGTTGTACATTATATAATTTCTACTTGAAACATACTTTGAAAGAACACTTAACACTTTTTTTTTCCTTTTTCAGACAGTGTTTCACTTTGCAGTTCGTTCTTTGAACTCCCTAGGTAGACGAGGCTCATCTGCAGTGACACTCCAGCTCAGCCTGCCCAGTGCTGGGATTATAGGTGTATGCTACCACACTCTATTGAGAAGTACTTTTTAAAACCATTCTTGGATTTCACTTGTTTCTGCTCTAAAGTTTTTTAAAAAATGTTATCACCTAAGTCTTTATTTTAAATGTATTTAGTACAGGGTTTATAGGGTCTCACTACACAGATCAGAGTTGTGGGTGATCCTCCTGTTTTCAGCCTCCTAAACGCTGGGATTACGGGCGAGCGCCACCTCACCCAGTCTCAATCACCATCCCAGCCTGCCCTGGGGGCGGGGCCAGCACAGCACGTGGGGTTACCTAAGTCTTGTAACATTATGTTCTTTCTTTTCTTTCTTTTTTTTTTTTTTATGTTTTGTTCATTTATTTATTTATTTTTGGGGGCAGAACTGGGGATTGAACTCAGGCCCTTGCGCTTGCCAGGGAAGCGCTTATTCCACTTATATGTTCTTTATTTTATGCTATTTATTTATTTATTTATGTGGTACAGGGTCTCACTATGCAACTTGGACTTGTGGTGATCCTCCTGTCTCCACCTTCCCAGTGCTAGGATTACAGGTGTGCACACCATGCCCCGTTTCAGGCCAGCATGGCATACCCAGGGACCCAGGGCCAGTAAAACACGCAGTGCCAGGGATTAAACTCAGGACCTTGCACTTGCGAGGCAGGTGCTTAGACTGCTGAGCTATCTCCTCAGCCCCCACTGATGTTTTAAAAGATAGGAGTTATAGATGCAAATATTTTAACAATCTAAGCAGCAGAGAAAGGTATACATTGCACAGTCAAAGTTACCCTCTTATTTCTTCCTCTGTCTACAAGGGATGGAGTCAACTGTTTTTCATTAGTCCAGCCAATAAAATATTAAGGCCCTCCCTCCTTTGGTCTTCTGAAAGTTTTTCTTTTTCTTTTTCTTGTGGCCAGCTTAGCCATGGGGAGGGGGCGGGGGGGGGGGAAGAAGGTGGGGCTGGCAAAGCATGTGGTGCCAGGGATGAAACTGTGGTCCTTGCGCTTGCCTAAGCAGGCACTTAGATAGCTGGTGAGCTATCTCACCAGCCTGATGTTTTTAAATTTTGTTTTGAAAATAAATTTGACCAAGGCATGATGGTACTTAGTAGGTTTCGGTACTTAGTAGGCTGAGGCAGGAGGACTGCTGTAAGTTCAAGGCCAGCCTGGACTATATGAGACCCTGTCTCAACTCACCCCCCTCCCCAGTATCTTTTTTTTTTTCAAGCTTCAAGGCATTTATACCTGAGTTTATTTTAGATAAGACTTGACCTCCTATTGCAGGGTTTTTGCAGAAAAGTCCTACAAGAAGTCTTCCCCTTACTCTTTCATGTAATGCATGAGAGAAAAATCAGACAAACACAGCCGGTTGTGTTTGTTTTTTAGTCAGCTGTACTGTGAGAGAAAATTTGGCACAGCTGCCAGTTTATCCTGAAATAGCCAAAGTCAGCCTGTGCTCCGATCTCCCTGGACGCCAGGATCTAAAATGCTCTGGGTTTTCCTCATTCCTTGGAATGCAGTCAGTTTAGTGCAAATACTGAAAACCAGACTTTTTGCCATGGCAGCCGCACAGGCCTGCATGCTGTGTGTCAGACCCGTGTGACACGTGTGATGCTGCAGACTGGTGAGCTCAGGGTTCCCAGGACTGTCCTGGGTCCTATGAGTCCATGTGTGAACAGAACAAAACCCTAAACCTTTAAGCTCCACACTTCTATGTTTTGATTGATTGATTGATTGATTGATTGATTTATTTATTTATTTATTTATTTATTTATTTATTTTGGTGGAACCAGGGATTGAACTCAAGCCCTTGCGCCTGCCAGGGAAGTGAAAGATTCAGTGTGGTATTCCCACACATGCACTAAGCAAATCTAATCTCTCTTTACACCTACTCCTTTCAAACCCTTAGGAATCACTGCTCTAGGGCTCAGGAGATGGCTCAGTAGAATAAGTGCTTGCCTGGCAAGCACAGGGTCCTGAGTTCAATCCCCAGTTCAAAAAAAAAAAAAAGGAATCACTGCTCTACATCACTTGACTTTTTTGTTTGGTTTTTTGAGACAGGGTCTCAGTATGTAGTTTAGGTTGGCTTAAAACACACCATGTAGCGTAGGCTGGTTTTGAACTCAGAGTGATCCTTCTGCCTTAGCTTTCTAAGTACTGAGATTACAGACATGTGCCACCATGCCTGGCTTGATTTTTTTTTTTTTTTTTTTAGCTTTCAAATATGAGAAAATAAAAAGCAGTACTTGTTTATACCTGGCTTTATTTCACTTAACAGAAACTCTTCCAGTTTTTTTTTTTTTTTTTTTAAGGGAGGGCGTGTTTAGCTCACAGCTTTTAGAGGTTTCAGTCTATAATCGGCTGTCTCTAAGGCAGGGTGGCACATGACAGAGGGGCAACAATTCATGTGGCAGGAGACAGCAAAAGCAACAAGAGGGTAGAGGGAGAAGGAGAGCAACAGCTCCAGTTCTATCCATGTTGTTGCAAATGACAGAATTGTGTTCTGCGTCACGGCTGAATGATACTCCATCATTTATATACCACATTTTCTTTATCCATTCATCCACTGATGGACACTTAGCTGTTGTGAACAGGGCCAGAATAAATATGAACACAAAGGGATTCCTTTGGTCTGCTAATTTCATTTCCTGTGGATAATGTACTCAGAAGGCAAATAACTAGAGCATATGGTGGATTTCTTCCTGCCTATTCTTTCTTCTGTTTTGTGAGACAGGGTCTTAATACGTGGTTCAGGCTGGCCTTGAACTCATGATAATCTTCCTGCCTCAGCTTCCTCAGTGCTGGGATTACAGGCATGCACCACCACACCCTGCTCATTTTAATTTCTTGAGGAACTGCTACACCATTTTCCATTAGGTCTGCATACCAATTTGCATTACCAACAAATAGTATATAAACTTCTCTTTTCACCAGGTTTGATGGTACACACCTATAATTTCAGCACTTGGGAGGCTGAGACAGAAAGATTATTCTCCAGTTCAAATCCAGCCCAAACTGAATAGTAAGACCCTGTCTCAAAAAACAAAACCAAAAAGAGTCCCCCTTTCTTCAAAACATCACCAACATTTGTTATTTTAAAATACTTTTAAGGGTCAGCCAGATAACTCAGTGGATTAAAGCGCCTGCTTAGGCAGACTCAGGGACTGGGGCTCAATCCCTGGATCCCTGGTGTGCCATCCTGCCCTCAGGGCACACTGAGATTGGGAGTGATCCTGCACACCTGTAATCCC